AGTCTAGGTCCTCGTGGCTGCCCAAACACCACTCGAACATGTCCCTTTCTCCCCATCCTCGGCCGCCAGATATCACATTGGATCACGCTGCTCCCGCTGAAGGTCGTGCTCTCCGTAGTCAATCTCTTTCCTTCTATTCTTCGTTCCTCTGTGTATATGTACAGTATACTATTCCTTTTATTCTGGCCTTCCTGAGACTTCTCCTCTACTAAGTAACCATGGTCTGAAGATCGCAGTTGCTGGGATTTAACTTACTTAACCCCCTGAGATACTGTCTCCATAATAGATGTGAATTCATGTAAACCTCTAAATTATTGAGTATTTTATTAACATATCCCTTGGCCTCAGTGAATAGGGCCATTTTTTGCCGAAGCTTTTAGATGTTTACCGCCGAAATAAAGCGTATTTCTCACACCCTCTGTCTCTAACGAAGAACAGTCAGTAATCGCATGCCAGAGAGCTTATTTCCAGCTTATTTGCTATCGACTAGGGAGAATTCTTTGACTTAACTGCGAATAGGTAACGCTGTTAATACACACACGCCTGTTTTCTACGCCTCCAGTTCCTCTACCATCTAACAACATCCGCCTCATGGAACCCCGGCTTCGAAGCCATCAGTATCCTCGGTTGCATTCTGATGCTTTCTAGCGCACAGATTCACACCGTCCTCGAGGAGAGCCACAAGAATTCCGACCTCATTCTTTGCGGGGGACTGGGTTGCGGTATGCCAGGCTTGAACTCCAGAGAGGGTAGGCTTGCTTTAGCGCAGGTTCTGGCAAGGATAGGCTTCAGTGTCATCAGCTTTGGCCATGGCTACATGAGCTTCGCGCAAACTGGCAGTGTAGCAATGGTGAGTGCTTTGTTGTTGCATTTAAAAGGCATTTTCTTGCTTGTAAAACCATCTGCTTTTAGACACTATCAAATTAATCAGATTTTCAATCCTGCAGTCAATGCAGGACAAATTATATGATCTTCAGAATTACCATTTCGCCAAACGATTTCTCAAAAAAGATAAGCCAAACTCCATGTCAGAAAACTCCCTTTCAAAAATCCATTAATCTGTGCTCCATGGACTGCAGTTATCCAAAATGTATTAAGGGGTTCTGCAAATCCCACAAAGCAGTCATGCCATATTAAAGTAACTGTCTCGTTGTAGCGTCAAAACAAGCTACAGTTCTGCTAGTCCTTCAAGCAACTTTCCTAAATTTGTAAATGTTTGATTATTTCTTCCATACCAGCG